TCACTTCGTATCTGATCTAACTGGCTATCGCTTTGAAGCCTTTTAAAGTGCACATTCTCCGCCTTGTCGTATGGATGGAACAACGATCAAAGGAAAGGATCCCTTGGCAGGGTGAAACACACCGGTTATAGTTCCCTCGTATCCGTTAAGGCTTGCCGTGAAATCTGAAACATTCGGCCAACGAAGTTTTGGTAGAAGCCGTTTTCGCTAATCAGAAAAGGAGTTCTCATCCGTGGAAGCTCGCGAAAGTAACGTGGCTGCTCTATCACGCTCTACGTCTCCACTGCTACTAGGAGACAGAGTAAAAGAAGTCAGCCAAAAAGAAGAAATATGCATTCCAACTACTGTACCACGGTTTCGGCCCCTGGTTAGTCAACGCGAAGATATTCTTCAGACTGGCAGAACGGTTGCTGCCGAAAACCCGTATATGATTGCTTTAACAACAAGACACTGTAACACTGCGGTGTGTGCAATATATGGTATATTAATTAATCGAAAAGATTGTGATGCGAACGAAAAAAAAGTAAGTTTATTTTTTAACACATAATGACATGCATGCGTTTCACTGAAAAGCTGCTTAACGTTTGCGATGCAGCTTCAACGTATTGTGTCTTCTCCATGCAGCGCGACGGCTTCCGCCAATCGTCTGTGCGAAATGATGACCTAAAACAAAATTTATGGAAATTAATTTTGCTTAATTAATTAACAACAGTCGATGACAGTAAAAAGGAACACTGGTATTAAAATAATGCGTTGAATTTCGAACAGATATGACAAAGTTTCTGTGTCTAAAAAGTAATCTAGTTTGCTCACAAGTGAAGAAAATATTGGGATTCAAACTCTCCACATCTTCAAGATGAACGGTTTTGGACGCGACACGAAATTTTCCATTCTCTTGTAATCCGTTGATTCTGTTTTGTGCACAAAAACCATCGTACCTGTCAGAGAAAAGGAGAATATTGCGTAACCTCCAAAATCTTTCGCCTTGAAGTGATGGGCAGATGTATAGTCAAAATACGTTTTGAAATTGTGATTTAATTCAGCAATACTTCTCATTAAAATAAGGCACAAACTATTGCAGGTGTCGAACCTATCGAAACATAATAAACATTGCTTTTGAGGCGGAGTGCACTTTTAAGTAAATTTAACATACTGTGCAAAACAAAGAATAAAAGATTAAAACAAGGCTTGGAATCTGAGCATATTAGTTTTAAACTCACCTTTGCCTAGGCCGCGAGATGACTTCGAGGCTGCCGTCAATCCTCTCATTTCACGGTGCTTCATTGTTGGCTTGCATATCCACTGGATATGTGGGTCATGTCGAATAGCGTTGTGGAACGGATCGACCATTATCACTTCAAAAAACTTGTAGGTAGAATCCTGACCCACCCAATACGAGTTCAAGACGCGCAGGGCTCCGCATCGTCTTCCGGCTCGTTGCTAAAATAAGGTACACAACATCATGGCGATAGGTAGGGAAATGAACATATTTCCTAACAAAACTAAACAACTATCTGTGACTATTATGAGGTAGTAGAAGCTTTAGCTGTACAGAACCCAAATATTAAAGAAAATTTAATGTGAAAACAGCTTGAGCGATGAAATTCTGTAGAGTCTTAAGTACTTCAAATTATGCATAACAATTTATAAAGATGGCCCGTTTTCCCACAATTTGCAAAATATTGCCAATCAAGCTGTCCCAAATTTCCTAATTCTTTAAACTCGACAAAATTAACATTAGTATGGCTCCTCCAAGATCAGATCTGAGACTAGCTTACCAAAAAACCTGTTATACAAAAACACGTAACAAAACATTCGTGTGCCTAGCTGTTGGCCGTTTACTGCATCCCTGGCTTGCTGATGGAAAAA